AGGTGCTGGGGTGGAGCTCTGCCAGGCACAGCCCCCAATTCCCATTTCTCCATCCCTAAAACTCAGCAAAGGAGCCATGAGCAAGAATCTCAAGCTCTCCCAACCCTCCCTCAGCCTTTTTGGGGGGAAACAAAGAGCCTTTAATTCTCTCTCTTCCCTCCCAAGCCAACAAGCAGAGCTGTTCAGTGCAAGACTTGTGCAGGGAAGCACAGAAGTGCTAATTGAGAGCTTTAAGGAGCATTAACAGCCCGGGCTCTCCCAGCCCCAGCTGGAGGCCAGGTTGGTGTCTGCTGGGAAGGATGCAGCGGTGGGAGAGAGCTTTCTCCTGCCTCTTTTGTTGTGGATTTGAAGAGCTGTGAGTACAGCCTGTTCCCCGTGTTCCCGTGCCCTGCAATGCTGGAGGTTATTTTAGCAGGCAGCCAAGGAGACTCTGGTATTTTGAAGACATCTGCGGCGCCAGGGCTTTTCATATCATTTTTAACACTTTGATAGCGTTAAAAGCCATCTGGCAAACCCCCTCCCTGTGCTGCTGCCGGGGCTGGGCTGAGCCTTCCCCCTTGGCTCGGTCCTGAGCGGGAACACCGCGCAAGGGGCAAAACGTTCCCGATGCTGGCGGTGGCTCTGACGCAGTGCCAGGAGCCAGGCCCGACCTCCAAGGCCCTTCTGAAGGCCACGGACATCCACGTGACATTCAGGCCAGGAGAACGTGTTTTGACTCTTGCCACATCCCGGTTTTCCAGCGAAGGGATGCGTTGGCTTGGTCTGGAGCTGGGGTTGCAATCGGCATTCCTGCTGGGTGAGCTCCAGGGCTCAGAGCCAGGAGCAGCCACTGCTTTTAGCCTGGGCTCCCCAAAACTCATCCAAGTGGTCGCTGTCCCACCTCCAGACAGGGAGCACAAGTGGATGTGGGATTTTTGGGTATGGTTTAATTGACTGGGTGAGCTCAGAGGTCTTTTTGTGGTTCTGGGAGAGGGGGAATTTGTCCCTTATGTCCATGAACCTCAAGGAATTGATGCTTAAACGGAATTTAGTGGGAAGGATTCCGTGCTCGTGCCGTTAATATCTGGTTCCTAAATATAAGGAGACTGAGAATAAGGTTACTAAATATGAGGAAACTTAAGGATTGGACTCCTAAATACGAGCAAATAAAATCTGGGTGCCGTTCCACCCAAATCATTCCAGTTACTCTTGTCCCTGTCCTTCCATTCCGTGGCTCCAGGACAACCAGCATTTCTCCTCACACCACGAAATGTGTTTGATTTTAAATCCCCCTGAACGCTCAGCCCTGTGCCTCAGGCAGCGAATCCACCTGAGCTTTATTAAAGGCTGAAGGAGGCTGAGGGGACTCGGGGACTCTCCGAGCTGTGATCCCAGCAGCCACCTTTGGTCCCTTCTCCCTCTCCCTCCTCATTAGGAGCTAAACGGCAGCGGTGGCTAAATTGGGTGGAACAGCTTGGGAGCGCTCAGAGATCGTTAATGATGGGAGCCTGCTCAGGGATAATCAGGAATAATGGAAAGGGAGGGATGGGCCCATCACCGTTCCCTCAGCCCGGGACACAGAAGGAGGGGGAGCCCGTGGAGGGGGTGGAGGGTGGGAAAAGGGACCAAGAGGGGAAAGTGAGGCAGAACCAGAGCTGCTTGGGAGGGTGGATGGATGATGATGGATGGATGATGATGGATGGATGATGATGGATGGATGGATGGATGGATGGATGGATGGATGGATGATGAATGGATGGATGGATGATGGATGGATGGATGGATGAATGGATGATGAATGGATGGATGATTGATGGATGGATGGATGGATGAATGGATGATGAATGGATGGATGGATGATGGATGGATGGATGGATGGATGATGGATGGATGGATGGATGGATGGATGGATGGATGGATGGATGGATGGATGGCTTTTTTAAGGTCTGGAGAATAATTCCTGTGAGGACCAGCTGTGGGGGCTCAGCCTGGAGAAGAGGAGGCTCGGGGGGACCTTGTGGCTCTGCACAGCTCCTGACAGGAGGGGACAGCCGGGAGGGTCAGGATCTGCTCCAGGGAACAACAGGACAAGGGGGAATGACCTCACGTTGGCATGTGGTGGCTCTCAGTGGCTCACAGCGTGTAGTGGCTTTTGGTGCTCGGTGGCTTTTGGTGCACAATGTCTCCTGGCACATGGTGGCTCTTGGTGACTCTTGGTTGCCCACAGTGGCTTTCGGTGCACGATGACTCTCAGTGGTGTTGTGCAGTGGCTCATGGCCCATGGTGGCTCT